AAAAAAAAAAAAAAAAAAAAAAACGGGTTGCAAAAACGACAAAATAACACGCCAAAATTCAGCAACCACATTTCTGAATAAACAATAGATAAACAAAAGGAACAACATATAATAAATGTGCACCAATCGATACCATCCATCAACCACTAAACACCACAAAACGATTCCTGAAATAATCCCAAAAAAAAAAAAAAGAAAAAATTGATTTTCAACTTTTTTTTCAATAAATGACAAAAAAAATTGGTTGAAGCTAACAACTGTATACATGGTAAAACCTTAGTATAAGTTCTGGACCATTCGTTCGATGCAGACTACGAAAACAGCAAAGAACAACGGAAACAACAAAGAAAAATGGTTCACATCCAAAAGCAATATCAAAAACTATTGCCAGGTTAACAGAAGCAAGAAAAAAATACAAATAACTAAAGCAAAAAAGAGAAAATAATCATAGTAGATGAAGAAAAAGAACAACAAATTTGATCCATGCAATAAAATATTGTTGCATATGTATGCATATACACATACACATATTATATACACTTAAGTGCACATATAAAGCAAAAAATAGCAAAAAATGGCAAAAAAACAGCGAGCAGAACAAAACTGGGCTGCACAGATTTGCAACGCACAAAACGCGCAAACTCCGCAGTTTTATTGCATTGAACAACTATATTTCAAATAATGCCAACAGTTGGCTCTATGCCATAAGCAAAAACGTTTAAAAAAGTAACAGCTCTATATTTTTGCAGATAAATATCTGCAAAGTGTTTTATTAACGGAAATAAGATTTAACCGATTGACTTTCTATAATAAATATCGGTTAAAACTGTTTCAAAAAGCCTGTTTTTTCATTGCAGTATTAAAACTTTTGAAGTTTTTAACGGTGTTCTTCTTGGTTGTTCAATTCTTTATTTAGTTCATTTGCGGTTAACTGCCGATTTATTACTGCTAAAATTTGTCTAATTATTTTTTTTTCCTTTTTTTTTTTTTGCAATAAAGGGTATTTTAGATGACAGATATGAAAAAATGAAAGATTACAAAGGTAATTTTTTTTACAACTCAAGGAGTGTTCATAATCAGATCACAAAAATTTGATTCAGAAAAGGTAGATATTTTTCAGTCATAACTTTCCGACTACTCCACTGTAGCAAAATAACAATTAAAATCGCCATTATTTGTTTAGTTTTCGAATGTTTACTTGTTTATAAAAGTTACGACTGCAACTGTTGTTAATACTGTATTGTTTATTTATAACTATAACTATAATGTAAACTCGCAGCACTTAAATGGCATAAACAGAACAGAAAATGTATAAAAACCAAAAATTGGTCATGAATTGGATAATTTACTTTTAATGTTCACTGTTTTACATGAAAATAATTTCAAAATTGGGAGACAAAAGATGATTGAGTATTATATTAGCAGTTACCAAAAAGATTAAATCAACTGACAATAATTTGAAAGTTTATTTACGTCAGTTTCCAATCGTCAAATTCAGGTTTGTCTGCGGCTTCTGTTGGTCTCTTTTTCTTTTTTTTTCGTTTAGACTACTCAACTTTTATATTCACGACAGGTAAATAGTAGTAAAAAATATCAAGAACTCTGTGTTCTAATGGAACTGTATTTTGTAGAGTAACTGCACTTCAGTAATTAATAATGTTGAACTAAACAGGTAACGAAAAGTAAACAAATATTGCTAATTTATGCTGTATGGTGGAAAAAAATTGTGTTACTCAAGAAGTAACCTTTCTTCGAGTATTATTGCTCAGTATTACAGTTTTTGTTGTCAGTTAAACACTTGCCGGTTAGTTGAAAAACGAATTTATTATTGATGCTGGTACTTTTGCCTGTATACTATCAAAAAAAAAAGTTCACTTTCACAAATTTCTTTTCAAATTTAAGTTCAACCATTTAAAATGTTTATCTCAACTTCGTTTGCTTGTTCATCTGGTCAGTTCTTCATTCTCTGTATAAAGTTAAAGTTATAAACTGGTATTCTTCTCGAAAATTTTTGAAACATCAAGCCCATAAATCAAAATGAGTCAATAAAAGATTACAGATACCTTACAGTACCGGCAACACCAATACTACTTGCTTTGGACTATCATTTTTGAAAATACAGGGTTTGGAATACTGAATTATTAACTTTATCTATAAGCGTTATGATGTAATTACAATTTTCCCTTGGCTACTTATGTAATTGGTCACATTCTTAGACACTGCTGGTTGATCACCACTGAGATCTCAAAAGATATGAGTAAATACTGCTGTAAAGGCCGAAAGTTTTTAGACCATTTTGATTTATCTGCATACTTAAGGGTGATATTGCTGATAAAAGTTGTTGGTTAAGATGGAATAAAAACAGATAATTTGTTCGCTAAGGGTATTTTTGTGCTATAAATTGATTGTAATAGTATGTATATCACACATCCTCGTTATACACACACAAATATATCAAATAAAATACGAAAAAACACTGGGAATGTTTAATCCTTCCAAATCTGTGAACGAAGTTCTGCACATTCATTTTTTTTTTCCTCTCTTTTTTTGCTAAAAACAAAAAAAAAAAAAAATGTGAGAAGCTTATATTCTTTTTTTTTGGCTATTTATATAAAAAATTAAGAACGATATGATAGTATAACAAGTAAAAATATTGAATACTAAATATTGCTTACAGTCTTAATTTGTCTGTTTACTACATATTACTTGTCATTGAGACATAAAAATAAAGCAATTTTATTGTAGCATAAAATTCAAAAATAATTCAATTTTGTTAAACTTCTGCTTAGATCAGATAACAATGAAGTAACAGTCTTTGTTTTAGTACTTTGCTATACATTTTTTGTGCTTCTTTTTTTTTTTTTTTTTGTAGCCAAAT